AGCCAGCTCCTTGCCAACCTCCCAACTTTCCGATGATGATGGACAACTTTACGAAGCCGGAGAATAGACATGGGGAGAGCGTAGACGGATCTCATGCTTGCGAACATGGCTGTGAAAGATATAAGAATAAAAGACTCCGAGGGTACGAAGACAAGAAATGGTGCGTTGCTAGTGCAGCCAACTGCCCGTGTCGGAACCGTTGTCAGAATTGGCTTTCAGGGGGTGTTGCGGAACACTTTCCCAGTGTGCTGTAAAGCCCCGAGCGGGGTTAACCGCATCGCAGGGGTAGTCGGCGTTCTTCCTTGCAGTATGCACCGCGGCCCCGTGCTGGGTTCCGGCTACCGCAACCAATCTGGTCACTGTCAGCAAGCGATGAAAAACTGGCCATCAAAAGCATGCATTTCGCGAAGTTCATGATGGGCAGACAATTGGGTTCAAACGGTTTTGCTTCTCACTGGTCAGATAGCGCCGGGTCTCAGCATAGTGCTGCAACCCTGCTGGCATCTTATGCACGCTGAGTGGATTTTGGTGTAGGTGGCCGGCCTTTAGTGAGTCGAGATAACTCCGAAAGGGCACAGGACCCTTGCACATAGCGAGAAGGATAATAACAAATGGCCCAGGGATAAATGGGCTGTCCCTAAGGCAAGAAGGGGGATGGTACAGTCGCTCTTCTGTCAACTATAGGGGGGACAAAGCTGGCATCTGTTTTGTCACCTTGATGAAGCTTCAATGTTTGGGCGTTTAGCAGCTTGGCTCAGTGGTCAGAATGTATCTGACAACTCCCTTAAACTGCGCGGCTCTCGCACCTGATGTGCCACTCAGTTGCATCATCTTCTCACTCAGACACTTTCCGAAGAGGACACTGCGTATCCGACCATGAGTTCTCCAACGGGAGAAGGAAACTCACCTACTCCTGGCCCTGCGTCCTCGACCCCTCAGACGGAGGGTCTTCTGCCTGGAGCTCACTGGGGTCATCGAGTTTGTTCTGCTTCATAACTTATCTTGTGACTTTTGGTCAATTCAATGAGCTGGTTGCTAACACACGTACTCTCCCTGTGTTAGCAACTTCCCGATAACAACACAGATTCAACCCTAGGGAGTGATGTTGAAAGCTCGACTGCCTCGATTAGTTCGAGTATTCTCAAATACCGCACCATTGAGGGTCGGACCTACCACAGCGATAGCGTGACAGATGGAGAATACTGGGCACCTAACGACGACAAGGCTAATGAAATGTTGGACATCTTGTAAGTTGACTATATATTCTTCCATTTGTATAAAACGTCCGCTTACTCTTCCTCTCAACAGTCACCATTTGGCGAACCTTCTCTTCGATGGCGAGCTTTATACGGCTCCCATTACAGATGAGCCCAAGAATGCCATTGACATTGGCACGGGAACGGGGTTATGGGCGATCGACTTTGCCGATAAGTTCCCCGAGTGCAACGTGATCAGCACCGATATTTCGCCCATCCAGCCTAGTTGGGTTCCCCCTAACGTCCGCTTTGAGATCGACGATTTCAACAAAGAATGGACCTTCAGGGAAGACAACCACTTCGACTATATCCATCTTCGGTAGCTCAGCGGTGCTGCGAAGGACTGGCCAGAGATCTATAGGCAGGCTTACCGATACTGCAAGCCGGGTGGCTGGATTGAGCATATCGACACTTCAACTGTTTGCTATTCGGACGACGGCAGTGTGAACGAGAAACATGCTATGGCTCAGTGGAGTAAGGTCTGGCAGGAAGCTGCAAGACTGACTGGTTACCCGGTTGACCTCATTGAGAAAAATCGGATGGAGGAAGGCATGAAGGCAGCGGGATTTACAAATATCGTGTCGAAGGACTATCCCGTAAGTCATCCCAACTTTCATTCTGCTGTGACTATGAGCCTTCTACACAAGCGAAAATGTGTATTCCACCCAGCACAGTGAACATGCAGATCTTCGTAACAAACACTATGTCCCAACATCAAGCTGACTACCTACCTACGGGATATTCACAGATCCCTTTGTCACCATGGCCCAAGGACCCAAAGCAGAAGGAACGCGGCCTCTTCTTCCACGCTCTTTGGGCGCCAGATCTCGAGGGCTATGTTCAGCACACGTTTGGAAACGTCATGGGTTGGACGAAGGAGGAGATGAAGATTTACATTCAACACTTGCGAGCCGAGCTCAGGAACCCCGACCTCCACGGGCAAATAATCTTCCGCTCGGTGTACGCTCAGAAGCCGCTGGATGCTTGAGGTGCTGCGGCTAGGCCGATGGAAGCGCCAAAAGTATAGGGGGGTTACCTCTAACGTTCTGGACTCTTGTATGCCAAAGGAAGGCCACGTGTAAAGTTTGAAGGCGAACATTTCATGCCCTGTTGGTGGCCAGTGTTTGATTCAAGCGGCGTTTCTAGCCCAGACGAGTACTTCAAGAAGCGCTTTTCCACTGAGCCAGGGCACTTGGCTGTTTTTCGAGAGTCTGGAGGGGGTGGAGTGGCTGGTTCTTTCTGTGGACAAAAAAGGGAAGTGCGATGTCTAGGAAAGAAAGGAAGGTAGGTAGAGGAGGGTAGGGCTTTCCACTTGAGACTCGGGTTGACAAGTTTCAAATTTCAGAGCCAACCCAGCTGCAAGACCCAGGCCAGTAACTAGGCAAGATATTTGATCCTGGTCTGGCCCGCCGTTCTTCCTTGTCAACCAAGCCGCCAATCAACCGTTTCTCAATCATCGCTCCTGTGGTTTTTGGGAGCTTGTGACGTGGAAAGAGCACTCCGAGTCCAACTTGAATCTCCATGTCTAGTGGACCTGGATTGGCAACATGTGCCTTTGTTTTCTTCCAGCCACCAATCATGCATTTTCCCCATTATTGCTTCCTATCGTCTCAGATGAACGGATTGGCAGTACCAACGTCCGCCCTAGAGACTATCGAAGCGGTTGACTGCTCCATGAGGGGTAGCATGCACCCGCTGTCACATTGACACGGCAGCATTCCGTGCAGAAGTTCTAGTTTTTTTTGTGGAATACGAGCAACGGTCCGAGCCGGGTATTGTTCGTCACCCTGATGGTTTCCGGTGGTTTGGGCCAGTGAGAGTTCCGGAATCCTGTGTTTCTCCGCTGTCGAAAGAGGTCGTAGTGTAGGATCCACGCTAACAAACAAACCAGGGTTGAACCAGGAGCCGAGTGATCTGGCACTGGTAGAGGTAGCCTTCCATAAAAGCGAATGGCTCTGGCATCCGAGTTGCATATTGACCGTTCCATCTTC